CAGGAGAGAAACTTGACCGAGCTGCCTTCCCACCAGATCCAGCAGAAAACTCGGTCCGGTCACTAGAAGACTCACAAATCATTTGCCTTTATCCCTCAAATGTAAAATAAGAAGGTTCATAACAATAATAGGAAAATCATAATTTTTTAAAGTGAAAAGGGGAAATAAATGTTCTTAAATTATCTTTTAGCTTAAATCGAAAACACACAAATTCTGTTGATAAACTACATTGCAACAACAGACAGTTCAGAGGGGCACGAAACTCTAGGGGAGATACGAGAAGGTTGTTCCAAAGTTTATTGAAAATGGAAAAGGAAATCTTCACGTTGTCCACCTCTGATAAGATCCTGTCTTAACTGGAGTTTCCATAGTCACACCATGTAATGCTTAGGAGTTAATTTAAAAGTGCTGTTTAAGCTGCTTTGAATCTTCTGCCAAGTTTCCATGGCTTGATGTTGTCTTACAATAAATTACTTATTTCATTTCTTACAGTTAATCCATATGCCATTTCCTTGGAATGCAAAAAACCTCATTTATTGCCCCCACCATACACCATCCTCCTAAAACAAACAAACAAAAAAGTCACATAATATTTCCAAGCATTGTTCAAAAATAAAGCATTTTTGCAACCAATTCTTGCTATGAAACAATATGCACACAAAATGTATTTCTTAAATTCCATAAAGTCCTCCAACATGAGGCAAAATGATAACGTCTAAAAAGCGGCTGCTTGGCCACAACATGGTCATTCAAAGCTCTGTGTGTGTGTGTGTGTGTGTGTGTCCATTTCAGTTCAAAATACTAAAACATTTAATCACTAAAGCATTAAAAAGAATTTACACTCTATTTATTTTGATCAGCTTACCTCTTCAGAAATAGATATACCCCCAAATGTGCATACATCAGCAGCTATAAACATTACATGGCAGAACACTATATCAGCTTACATGGAAACGTACAAAATGTGGGTGTATTCAAAAACTATTCTGCAGGTACTATCTTTAAAGCAAGACATAAAATCATTATGAAGTCTTGTAAGCATAACACTGTTTCAAACAGAAATAAATATAGAACACTTTCTGGTAAGTTACAGCAGCAAAAAACAAGAGGCATCCTTTTTAAGCAAGAGTTTCATCACTACAGCAGCTGTTCAGACCTGAATTCCTCTCACAGCCTGCTTTATATTTTCCAGTAGGGCTTTATTTTCTGGACTCTGATAACGATCTTGATTTGTATACATTTCCGTCAAAGTAGTCACGTAAGCATCAAAATTTTGTTCATTGATTGGATCCTACGAGATATTAAATAGTAGTTCATATACAACTTTTATTTTCTTAATAGTATATTTACAAAAGCATAAAATAGTATCATAGCATAGTGCCCTTGGTTTTATACTATTTCAAAGGCCGGCTCAGAGCACACTTAAGTTTATGGGGTCAGCCCCGCCCATGTTTCTAGCAGTTAACGGTATGGTTTCGGGGTGGTAACCACAAACATTTGCCAAAGGCTGAAGAACCATGAAAATAACAACAAAAACGGCATCTACTTTAGGCTGTGCGCTGTGAGGACTCCACATTCCTGCCTTGCGCGCTCAGTCACTTACCATGTGCGGCAGCTGAATGTTGGCCAGACTGTGGATCAGAGACTGGCTCAGGTTCGCCAGCTCGTGGAGGAGGGACTCGTTCTGCTGCTCAATCACTTTGTTTTCCTCTTCGATGGTCTTCAGGTTGCTCTCCATCGTGGTAATCTGAAACGCACAAGTGCGTGTGACATGTAACACCAGGAGGACCTAGAAGCCCGTGGCCGTTGCCGGGGGCCACAGCCTACTGGGTGCCAAGAAGGGGCCTCTCGCTGAAGGAGAAAGCCTTCGGGCCGGGTGCTGTGGCTCACGCCTGGAATCCCAGCACTTTGGGAGGCCAAGACAGGCAGATCACTTGAGGTCAGGAATTTGAGATCAGCCTGGCCAACATGGTGAAACCCTGTCTCTACTAAAAATACAAAAATTAGCCGGGCGTGGTGGCGGGCGTCTGTAATCCCAGCTACTTGGGAGACTAAGACATGAGAACAGCTTGAACCAGAGAGGCGGAGGTTGCAGTGAGCTGAGATCACACCATTGCACTCCGGCCTGGGTGACAGAGCAAGATTCCGTCTCACAAAAAAAAAAAAAAAAAAAAAGAAAGAAAGAAAGAAAGAAAAAGGTCTCAGTGGTGAGCATTGCCGTTTAAGGACCTGCTGTCTATGCTTTGGATTCACTGCACTTGACAACTGGGGAAGTGGGACTGTTTCCTTGTGCCATCCTGTTCTCTCAGCTGGCCTGATGGGACTGCAGTGTGTGGGGGCTTAGTGTTTTACTGACTTGATGCGAACACTTCTCCTTTCTAGCCTGAATCAAATTCTGCCACAGCTAAGTCCTCCAATGCTCATTTCTGTGTGGGGGTGTCACTATCTCTTCAGATGGCACCGGGCTGGCACTGTGCCCACAGGGTGGTCTTCCTGCATTTCTCTAAGGAAAAAGGCCCACCGCGGACCCTTCCTTGCATATTCCAGAGATAATTTAAGTATCATCAAGGTCAAGGTCAGGGCCTCTGCCTATAACGGCACAGGACTAACTTCGCACGCAGCAGGCAGGGAGCTGCCCTGTCCGTGGGGGTGTCTGCCTCGGCCACCCAGGGCTGCCTCTGCCGTGCGTGATCTGGGGCTTCTCCCTGGAAGACCGAGCCGACCCGCAGAGTCCAGGGCTGGCCTGGTCTACCCGCTCCTCTCCGCTCCTTCCCCGACGTGTCATTCCCAAGTCCTCTCATGAGAGTCTCCTCCTCTCCGTCTTGGTCCTGTCTTCTCCTATGTTCTGGCCCTCCCTTGGCTGTACTGGGTCAAATCCCGGGTTCTCCCACCAGCCTCAGGCACAGACCTTCTGTTAGAAAACTGGTGCCCTTTGGAGACGCCCTCCAGGATGAAGTGGGGAGGGCGGGCCTTCTCCTTGGAAGGAATCGCAGCCCCCACCATTCCTGCAGGGATGGTGCCCTGTGGAGAACCCACCGAAATCACACAGCTTTGTTTCCATGCACGTCCTTGGTGACCTTCTCATTTGTGTTCCTTGGGATTATTTATCAAATTAATGTTCCCCTCCCAGCCGCCCCCTTGCAGGCTCAGGAGTGGATGCCTGCCCTCCCACGACTCCTGGGTGGGCCCCGAAGGGCTGCGTGCCTCGTGCTCGTCTTCCAGAGCGTTCTGTAACCCTTCCTGGGCGGCCACGTACCTGCACTCATGGCTGGTGGCAGCTGTGGCTGGGACCTCACTAGAGATGATGTCAGTGTAAAGAGACGTAGGTTTTCTATGATGGAATCTAATCTCGGGTGAGGCGCCACTGCCCAGGTCCCGAGGTTGTTAAAGGGCCCACGCAGGGGGAAGGCCAGCAGCAGGATGGGCACCTCCCTGAGCAGACGGCGGCTCCTGCCCTGTGCACCCGGTGGCTTTCCTAGATGGCCGCTGCTCCAGGCCCCTCAGCCCCTTGTCTGTGCTCAGGGAACCCTGCGGAGGCCTCCCCATTGCCGGCCCTCAGCGGGCCCTCCTGGATGAGCCCAGCCCAGCTCACCTCTGGTTGAGTGTCTCAGAGGTGCTTCTGGCTATTCCTTCTTATCCTAGCCGGGCAAACTGTGGGCTCTTTTTCTGGAAAATGGGCATAATGCTCCTTGCATTACGAACTCACACTGGCAGGTGCGGTGTGTTTGCAGTGAGAAGACATTTGTTATTCCTGGGGCCTCTGACCTGGTCTTTGGGGCTCAGAGTAAAGGGAAGTCCAGCTGCTCCCCCGGCTTAGCAGAGAAGCAGCCTGTGGGGTGCCCAAGGCAGGGGTAGCACCCTGTCTCGTCGTCCCCAGCAAAATTCATGGGGACACATTTTAGATCCATTCCTCCTTCAACCTATGTTCCCTGCTGGAAAGTCTAGCCCCTTCTGCAGAGGCAGAGACACGTTCCTGTGCTCAGGAATCGCTGCGAGACTCAGGAGTTAGGCTGTTCCTTCCCATGTTACCTGGGTCTGTGGCTGGGGTGGGGGGGGGGGCTCCCGTGCTTATAAATGCTTTGATTTTCTCAAAATGGAACAAATCTCATTATGTTGAATCCACTGAGCAGTGGAACAAAATATGCAGTTTGAACAAACATCCCATCAAAGCCCTGGCCAAAATGATCATCTCCTGAACCAGGCTGTGTGGCGAGCCCAGTCCAAGGTCAGAGGGGATGCCTGGAGACCCAAAGCCAGAACTGATGGGTATCTGCCAGGTCTCACAGCCTTACCTCCCTCAAGCACACCCCCCGGCCCCTGAATCTCCTGCATCTCCAGCCCACACACACAGGGCCCCGGGCTTCTCGCACGGGACACGTTTGCTTGCCTAGGCCTTCCTCCAGGGTGGCAAGAAGCTGTGTCTCAGGGTCACTGTTGCCCGTTCCTTACTATCCTAGCCAGGCAAACTGTGGACTCTTTTTCTGGAAAATGGGAGTAATGCTCCTTGCCCGCAACATACACTCACACTGAGATGTGAGGCATGTTTGCAGTGAGAAAACATTTGTTATTCCTGGGGCCTCTGACCCAGTCTTAGGGGCCCAGAGTAAAGGAGAGCCCTCTCAGAACGTCTTGGAGCTGGCCAGCACGCTGTGGTGTCATGGGAGACAGCGCTGCCGAGCAAGGTGATGCAGGGGCTCCGCCCAGCCCCTCATACACCAGGCCTCCTCTGAGGATGGGGCTGAGCAGGCTGGGGAGGGCCACAGAGACCGGTGTCTCTCTTACAAATCCAACCCACAGCAGCCACGGTACGTGGTTCCTGGCACTCGGAAGGCGTCCCTGATCACAGGTGCTTACACGGGGAGGGGCCTGTGTCGCGAGTGGGTCTGGGGGCCTGGCTGGGAGCTGGGCCGGCCACCTCTGCCATCGTCAGCGATGTGCACTGGCGAATCTGAGTCTGCATTTCCAGAAACATCGAGTCGCCTGTGGTAAAGCGGGGAGCCCTCTGACAACGGTGGGTTCTGTTTTTGATTGTTTTAAGAAACACCAAAAGGTTTTCAGGCTGCTAGGAAGCAGTGCATTCCCGGATCTTCCCAAGAAAGTGCCCGCGTCAGCAGCAGCCTGATGGCCAGTCTAGGTCCAAACCCGCATTTTTACAGACTTGTCCACACCCTCTGTCCTTCTGGACCTCAGCATTTCTTAGACTGTGCAGCCTCTGACCACATCTGGAGCAGAGAAAAAAGGTCAAATCTAGCCCAGGGCCTGACATTGAAAGCTAAGACTGAGCTAAGAATGGCATTTGCGGTTTTTAGTGGTAAGAAAAAAACAAAAGAATAACAGCATTTTGTGACATAGAAGAGCTATTAAGTTCCAACTGTAGAACCATGTGACGCTGTGTTGAAACACTCACACACGTGTTGTGAGGCTGTCACACTGCAACACAACTGCGTGGCCCAGAAGCCTAAAATATTTGCCATCTGGTCCTTTATAGAAAATGTTTGCCAATACCTGGTCTAGACGAAGTACCTGGATGGCGTGATGTGTTTAGAAAACATTTCCAGAAGAAGAGTAAAATGGGTGGGAATCGCAAGGCATTAGCAGTGGGGCGGTGGAAGGGCGTAACCCCAAGGAAAGTGTCCTCGTGCAGGGAGGACAGGCTCCTGCCCATGCCGGTGCTGACCAGGGAGGCTGGACCACAGAGAGGCTTAGCCCCAGGGAGAACAGCCATCATCTGAAAGTGGTGCAGGCTGTGGGATTAACTGAGCTGCCAACCTTAGAAGAAGTCAAGCTTCACAGGGCTGTTCACACTGGTCCATCTGGGCCCTCGCACCAGGAGCTGGGGGGTTTCTTGTGAGAATAGCCTGGCCTGAAAACACGAGCTCCCTTTTATACTCAAATACCCCCACCCCCACCTCCCTGACAAATGCCTGCACTGTTTGAGCCACGGGGGACAACATCCCAGCCTCCCAGCCAGCTCCGAGCCATCCTCCTCCTGCTCCTGCTGTTTCCTGTGCCGGGAGTGCTCCTTTCCCTTCTCCACCTCCCGTGTCTGCAGGACTCCCACCATCTCTCCTCGGTCTCCTTGCTCCAGTCCCCCACGGTGGGGTCTCGAACTCAGGCCCTCAGCACTCATGTAGTTCACACAAACGCTGCTTGCCCGGGCCGCGCCCAGCACTTGAATCCCCTGCTCTCTCTTCCTCAGTGGCCGTCTTCTTTTCTTCCGGAGTCTGGTAACAAGCAACTTCTGGGCGTCCCCTGGGGCCAGGGCAAGCTTTTCTGGTCTCTGCTCCGGGGTCTGGTGTGGACTGAGATGAATCGGATGAGATGTGTCTGGGAATCTTGGAGTCCAGAACCAAGGCGTGGGTGTGCCCGGCGTGGGTGCCCCAGCCCCTGAAGCTGAGGCCACACTGAATCCAGTTGAATGGAGTTGGGGAAACAGCAGATCCCACAGACACCTCGGCCGTTCTGCTGGTGCTGGGCCACCCCGGGAGGAAGCCTGACCGGGGTCACGCCATTCTCCTGCCTCAGCCTTCCGAGCAGCTGGGACTACAGGCGCCGCCACCTCGCCCAACTAATTTTTTTTTTTTTTTTGTATTTTTAGTAGAGACGGGGTTTCACCCTGTTGGCCAGGATGGTCTCGATCTCCTGACCTCGTGATCCGCCCGCCTCGGCCTCCCAAAGCGCTGGGATTCCAGGCGGGAGCCACCACGCCGGCCGCTGTCGGGACTTCTGACTGCGCTTGTGTGGGGTGAAGCCCTGAGACCCACTCTTCAAGCCGCCAAGGGTAAGAACGGACTTTTCAGCCACACAGGAATTGTATTTGGTCGCACTAATTGGACCCCAAATAGTGTTTAAACACATTCCAAATTGGAAAACTCATCTTCTCAATGAAATAAAATTGCGTTTGTCCTAATCTGAATTCTTACAACTGAACAGTGAAAAAAACCTTTCCAACTTTTAGTAAGAGCACTCCTGGGCTTGAGACGTCACAAAACCCCTTCCGCAGAGGGTGGCAGGGGCGGCCTCCCCCTTATCCGGCACAGGCACGGGGGTCTCCTTCCATCGGGCACAGGCGCGGGGGTCTCCCCCTTATCCGGCCCAGGCGCGGGTCTCCCCCGTCCAGCACAGGCGTGAAATTTAAAGGTTTGGACGGAGTCTCCTTTCTCCTTCTCTTGGATCTGTTCTTTACCAGATTAAAATCTAGACCCCTCCCTGTGCAGGGCCCTCATCACCGGGCTGCCGGCCTGAGCACTGACTCTACCGTTCTTCCCTCTGTCCCCATTGCAGAGAGAACATCGGGCCGTGGCATCCACTTCTCATCTATCTCATGGCTTGGGCTGGGGACAGGCCTGCAGCCCTGTGTCATCTCTGGCATGGGCTCTGTGCACAGGCCTGCATCCCCGTGTCAGTGTGTCTTGAACATGTCATGGGGCAGTGGGAGAAGTCTGCCTTTCTCTTGGGTCAGAGTGGACAAGAAAACACGGAATCTGGGCCTGTTCCCCTTCCTGGCCATGCTCCCTGAGGGTGTGAGGGCCTGAGAGGCATGGGAAAGTCCAGACCTTCTAAAGGAAAATGCAAAGGGCGTGAAGGCTGCTGCAGGGAGGCCAAGGCCGTCAGGCAGGGCTGCTGTATGCCCTGGAGAGCTGGCCTGCCCCATGTTCCTCCTCCATACTCCCCGGGCAGTGGCCGAGGCACAGACAGCAAGGAGGGCTCCTGGCTGTGGGCGCACATTGTTTTCTGGTTAAGTTTTGCCCCAGGTCTAACCCGTTTAAGGAGTATCAGGCTCTAAGCTGCCTGTGTCAGCAGCTGCCTGTCTCTGAGCTCAGGCCTGGTGCTCACAAAACAACTTGTGGACTGGAGCTCATCATCCGACGCTGAGAGCTGCAGAGCTGGGGGACTCTGGCTCAGCACATTCTTGTCTCTTCTAGAATAGAGGAAGGTCCATCCCTGGGCACATCTGGGAAGTCACCTCTCTCATCAGCCGAGTCAGTGAGAATACATGTGAACTCTACACATTCATTTTTGACATTGGGTCCAAATACATGCTGTTAGGAGCAACTACTCATCTCAGAGATAAAGAAAGGCACAAAGGAACCAGTGAGAAGGGACACAAACCTGAGTGCTTCCTGAGGGGGAGGCCACGCCCGTGCAGGTGCAGAGAGTGCTCTAAGCAGCCTGCGCAGGCACATGCGTTGTTTCCTAGAGCTCAGACCCAGGCGGCATGACCTCTAAGCCTACTCAGCCCTCGGCTGAGCCCCAGCCCCAGTGCTTCATCCACAGCTGGCGTCAGAGCTGCCGTCCGTCCCTCATGGACGGCCGCAGAGCAGCAGGCCTTCACCGCGGAGGGAGGGAGGGGTTTTGGAAAGTGGGAAGAACCTGCTTCCTGAAGGGCATCCTGTTGGAATTGGGTTGCCCCAGTAGACCATGGACTCAACACCCTGGACAGACAAGGACATTCTGCCTCATCAGAGAGTGCCCCGAGAGGTGCCATTCAAAGGAGGAAATAAATTAAGATTTTCGGCTTGTCGCCCTCATAAACAGAATACAACTGTGAGTCCATTAAACCCACTTCCTCTGTAAACTACCCAGTCTCAGGTTATTTATTAGCAGTGTGAGAACGGAGTAATACTCAAGGGTGAATTGATCTGTCCCAGTTCAACAATCTTTGCTGACTAGGTCACCTCCTACTCTCTCCCAGAACCAGCAGCTCGTGGGTGCTCCGGGAGCCATGGAGTCTCCTATACAGTCCAAGATGCCGCCTCCATGACCTCGGCTGGTCCCGGGGCTGAGAAATGCCACAGGCTGTTACTCTATTCCCCAAGCCCAACATTCAGGTAAGTCTTAAGGGAAATTCCAACCTGTGTTGGGTGAGCCCCAGCCAGGCCAATGTAAGATTCTAGGAAGGCCTGAACACAGCCCCTGGGGCTACCAGGTTGGTCAGATCAAGGCAGTGATGCCCTCTGGGGAAATAGGTTGGCATCGAAATGCCCAGGCAGCAGCCACATGGCCTTGTGGGGAGTTCCCGCCCTTGGCCTCATCGTTGGTACCCACAGGGGGGCCTGGAAATCCCTTTCGGTTGCTTGGTGGGGCCCCAGCCCCAGAGGATGTCTCCATCCTTGGGAAAGCTGTGTCCAGTGGGTGGAAACCACCTGTTGAGCAGAACAGAGCCATTGACCACACCTCGCTGAGCACGGGAAAGGCCCTCAACCTTCCCCAGCCTCAGCCTCTTCATTTACGGAGGGGGGATAATAAGGGAGCCCCTCAGAGTTTGTTAGGAGGACAGCATCATCACGTGGGTGGCCGGTGGTGTCACCATCCTCATTTCCATCCAGTCCTCGGGCTCATTCCCAGCAAACTGAGTAACCTTCCTGGAGGCTGGTCAGCATCCTCTGAGAACCTCATCACACCACGGCCTGCCGGGGAGGGGCCGGAATGGAGACCTCATTTCTAAGAAGACAGGACACCTTGGCTCACCCTGTGGGCAATGTGAGGGTCGGGTGGTCAGCAAATAAATTCCACTCCCAGAGTGTACTTAGGCAACTGGGACCCTAACGCAGCAAGGTGGGGATGCCAGGCACAAGGTTCATGGTCAGACAGGGTCCAGCCTGGCCTCTGTGGCCTCGGCTTGGCTGAGGAAGCTGCCTCTCTGTCTTAGAAGCTGTATGTTTAAGATGAGGCTGAGGATGTTTATCCTGTGGGCTGCTTGTGGGCACGGAGGGGGTTAGGTGACCACAGCTGCTCTGCCAGCTGCCACTGCTCTCTCTTCCCAACCCCAGGCTCTGCAGCCGCAAGTCACTGGGGCTGCTTCCCCAAACCCCAGACACCCAGGAGTCCTATGTGGCAGGCACTCCTTGTTTTAAATTCTGGGAACCTCGGCTGCCGCTATCCATTTAATACAATGATTAAATAACACAAGGACCTGAAGTATCTTGGAAGGAAAACCCTCATTGTTTGCAGGAACAGGTGATCCTCTGAAAATGCCTATTCACAAATGCGCTTTATTAAAAAACACAGACACGGGTGCAGACTGAAAACGAGAGAACCATGGCCCCTGCTCCAGCGAACACGGCCATGGAATGGTGTCCGTGGAAGATCAACATCATAAGGTGGAAAAATAAAGGAAGTAAAAGAGCAAAGAAAGTGGAAACGACAGCTCTCCTAAAAGCCGATTTCATGCCATGTATCTCTGGTATAATAGCATGTGTTAGAGCTAAAATTGAGGGCTTCAAAAACTGTTACCTGAGTTCTGAGTTTAATCATATCGGCTTCCATCTGGGAATTGGATTCATTTAGCTCCTTGATTTCTTCATCTAACTGTTTGATTTCTTCATCATTTTCTATACCTGTAATAATGAATATTAGTATGTTAAAACTATTATACACAAAAATATTAGAGTTAAAATTTTGGGAGTTTTCTTTGTTCCTTTTACATTTGTAATTGAATTTGCTTGGAAAATAGACTCTTGAATTAGAAAGGAAAAAATCATCACAATCTTGAGTCTTTCTGTTCCCTACCACTGCCCCTTCCCCAGCTAAGTCCCCCCACAAAAACAATCGAGACACACAGGAGACTCCCGGGCACTCTGAGGGTCGAGCTCCCTGGGACAGTTAACCTGGGTCTTAGATATACCCCTGGGACACGAGGCAGAAACCACCTGGTCCTGGGTGCTGATTTGCTGAGCCTGGCCTATTTTCTCCTGCTTTTGTTCTCTCTCCCAACTCGCTCTCTGCATCAGACATTCTGCAAACACCCGAGGCTTGGGGCCAGGCTCTGCAGGCACATTCACCGACAAGGCCAGGCCCTCCCTGCCTTCACTCAGCTTAGGCTCTGGGTCGGAAAATGGGCAACAGACGTGTAACCACAAATGCAGTCCAGCAAATGCTGAGGATGACCTCACCTCATCCAGCAACAGGAAGCTGTGGGAAGTGGGAGAGGGACATGCGGACTGGCTAGAGGGAGACGGCCACAAAAGGGCTCTCTGAATATTCGACATTTAGCGAATAAAAAAATCTCATTCTGAATGATTAAAAAAATATGTATTAACTAACAGAATTCCCAATTTGTAAACTCTGCCAGAATGACGACCTCAGCCAGGTGTGTACCTGACCATCTGAGTGTCCCTGATGGGTGACAGCTGCCCTGCTGAGGTCCACGGGGCACATGGATCAGTCCTGGCATAGCTGGGCACAGGGCCCAGATGCCCGTATTTACAAAGGACATTCTGGACATCTGCTTCCCTGACCGGCTGTGTCTGGTTACTGGCAACATTACACTGCCAACGCCAAAGAGATGGAGATTCCTCTCTATTTGTGACCGCTTGACCTCACACAATTGGGTGTACACAGAAGGAGAGCAGGAGTTTGGCAAACGCAATCACCCTAGAAAACTCAGGATTTGAGATTGCTGTTCTCATTGGTCCTACAGCACCACAATGGATCTTTACTCAAAACTAATGGAAATGCATCCAGGCCTAGGAGGCTCCCAGTGGGTAGATGCTGTTTTCAAGCTTTGCAGACAGAAGGGAAGAAGGGGTGCAGTCAACCAGAGTCTGAGGCCTGAAAGCACCCCAAACCCCTGCTGACGTCAGCAGGACAGAGGTGGAGGCTCCTCTCTACCGAGACATCAGAAAGATGAGAGTAAGAGAAAGTGACGACCAGTGGGATTGGGCCTTAGATGCTGCTTTTAGTGAAATGAAAAAAAAAAAAAAATAATACCCCCAAGATAAAAATACCCAATGCAAAAAAATCCCAATTCTTAAAGCAACTAAATTATGAATGAATGTATCATTTAAGAAGCATTCCCCACAAGCTTCTGTTAAACTGCAAGCATCCAAATGCCTTTAGAACCCCTCCGTGTGAAGGAGGCCCTCAGAACACCGGACCTGGTGACGCTTCCACCCTCTACAGCCGTCACGGGCAAATTTCTCAAGCATGTTCCTAGGAATCGCATCTTGCAGAGGCCTTTCAATATGTTTCTATCAAAAACCTTGGACCGGTGTGTTTAGTTTCAAGAATTTATGAGAAGTGTCAAAGTAACTGGCCTGTCAGGCTTGGTTATCTAATTGATCTGCCAGATCAGGTCAACTGTTCTGACAGAAGTCAGTGTCATTTTAAATCCAAACAAAAGTCTTGACACGGGTCCCATGACAACCTTTCATCTCTAATTTTGTTCTGGGAGTGATGGATGGGTGGATATTACTTCCATAGCTCTGCTCTGTCTTGGGGGACCACCCTCAGGCCCAAGTGGTCACCACCAGCCCTTTGTGGGAGCCTGGGAATGTCTCAGTCCTGCGGCTGCCCACTGTGGCTCCACACAGCATGCCATTCCTTTGTGAGGGGGGAAGGGAGACGGGGAAACGGTGCCAGGAAGAACCGGCAGGTCACAGAGGCTTTCCCGGCCCGTAAGATTCTGGAGGATGAGGGAATGTGGAAGAGGAGGGCCTGCAAACTAATTCTGCAGAGCTGTCCACAGCCACATCCCTGGGACAGCCTACGAGCCCCCAGGCACGTGTGAAGTCCCCTCAGGGAGAGGAGAGCTCTGGCTTGGGTGGGAATTTCCCTTTCCCCTGCAGCAGGGCAGTGACTGGCCCAGGAAGCAGTCCCTGGGTTTGCTGGGGCCTCTGAGCTGAGCCTCACTTTGTGGATGGTTAGGCTGAAACTAGAATTTTGTTGTTGTTGTTGTTGTTTGTTTGTTTTGAGATGGAGTTTGCTCTTGTTACCCAGGCTGGAGTGCAATGGCGTGACCTCGGCCTCCACCTCTTGGATTCAAGCGATTCTCCTGTCTCAGCCTCCTGAGTAGCTGGGATTACAGGCGCCTGCCACTACACCTGGCTAATTTTTGGTATTTTTAGTAGAGATGGGGTTTCACCATGTTGGCCAGGCTGGTCTCGAACTCCTGACCTCAGGTGATCTGCCTGCCTTAGCCTCCCAAAGTGCTGGGA